TTCACTACAAAAAGTTTTGGATCAACCAATTTCATGACAGACGTATTAATATCTGGGACAAAACAACAAAGAATGATTGGAAGATTCCAAGCAATTGGAAATCATTTAAAGAAATGGTTGAATGGAAATTCCGAGATCGCAAAGAAAGACACAATGGACCATCCATGGAAGCGGCAGTGGCACATTTCAAGAAAGACGGTGAAAATGATGGATACACCGATTGGAACGACTACTATCCGATATTCATTATTCGTGCGTTCCAGAAGCATATTGACCCGCAGAAAAACAGAATCGAGATATACGCCAAGCCGATTCCTGACGGAGGTGACCCCAGCACTTTTGACTGGAACAGCGTTATTGCTATTCGGTGCGTCGGTGGTCACAGTTGTGTCAACCCATCTTCAAAGCCATGGAACATGGGATGGGGGAGCTTACAGTGGACAGATATCAAATATCTCCGTCATGGAACAGCATCCCGCGCCTGGAAGAACATACTGAAGACAGGGATCATTCCTGGATATGTTGAACCACACTCTCAGAGAGACAGAACTTATAAACCATCGCAGCGATCTGAGGCATTCTTCAGTTCTAGCACATATTTGAACAACGTTCAAAAGAACCCACATACTTCAGTGGAATCGTACAAGTTCAACAGCTACAAGAACGAAGTCGAGCTGGTGATCAACATGGAGATCGCCACAAAAGCAGGTTGCAGATTTTGGTTGGGTGCTCAGGGCGCTATCATGACTGAGGACGTGGTACCCGCTGCGGCAATTATTGCAATTCGCCGCCTCAAACCACACCACATGCATGGCCAGCAGCTGTGGCCAGACGGCGACCCATGGGACTACCCGCCATTGGCAGCCAGAGAGCCATTGAGCAAGTACGAGATTTGCGCCTGCCTTCCTGGAGAACTTATTGACGACCCACCTGGATTGGCACCTATCGACCCCGACCAAGACATGGAGCCTCCAAGGATGACGCCAGCATCAGCACCCTCGGCCAGGCCGGGGGAAACCCCTGCTGGCCGTACATCCGCAGAGGACGCCTTGGACGAGCAAATAGTACGTGCTATGATCCAGGAGACCAATCACAAAGCAGATGATAAAGAATGGTTGATTGCATTATCACATTGTCGTGAAGCTCTTCGACCAATCACAGCAAAGATCATGCAAAAAGATTGGGATCGTCGTCCTGCATTTAACGATGTTCGAATGGGCGACTTCATTGTCATTAAGAATTGGGGTTCTACCAAATGCTTCCACTACGACAACCATTGGCCCAAAGGCAATCACAATACCAAGATTGCCTTGTCCAAGGGACACATATATGGTCCAATCATCCATTTCGGCATCTTCGACAAGTTCTTTGCGGTACAAGTACCTATTCTCAACTACGGTTTACGATGGGTAAATATCTGGTATAATGACAAAAGCATGCCCCTCAAGGGCGTTGTATTTGCATTGCCGATTCGTATCGAAGAACACGCCATCGATCCAACATGGATGGAGACTGCCCTGAAAGGCCCGACATCTTGCAGCGAGGAGATACTGCAGCACAAGGTTAGCGGTAGCTTACCATACCTTGGAATGCCTAGCATCCATAGACCACGTATTCCGCGTACACCACCAAGAAGGCCCGCTCCACGGACACCTGATCCAGACGAGCTGGTGGCCACACCTGCCGAGGACAACGCTCGGACGGGCGACATTCCTCGACAGGGTACAGCATCATCGCATGATCCACTGATCACCGTAATCGTGGACATATCAAATATCGTTCTTACTGCAGGTGAGAAAGCTGCGAACGACAACATGAGGGCAGACCTCTCGGCAGACATCCAAGCAGAAGAGCAGATCGAGGCAAGCATCCTCGATAACATCATTGATCCGCCATCGAATTTCCTTGATCATCCAGACTACGACCCCGACGAGGATTCAAGATGGATTAGACAGTCTGATGATTGCCGCGTGTATTGTTGGACATCGGCGTTATTGGTGGATTCGCCTATGATCAAGATGAGGCAGATCATTGAGATACACAGTGGCGCAGACAGAATCGTAATGGACAAAATTCAGTCACATTTACAATTTGAAATTCGATTTGGATCGAAAGCATGGAACGCGGAGTCATATCATTTGAACTACAATCATACCCACAAGTGGGCGCATGACTTACCCAATTGTGGTGCAGATCACTTCTTCAAAAAGTTGGTACACTACCTCGACCCAGAGACTATCGAGGAGTCGACCACTGGCATCTTTCAATGGATTTCCAATGTATACCAGAACATCTTGAAAGATAGTATTGTGGAGCTACCAGATTTCGCCAAGGAAGTCATCCATGACAACCATCCTGCATTTCAGGCATTGCGTGACCTATACAAAAATTGTACTGCGACATACGGTGATCCAGAGTTTCCTGTGTGGGAAGAGCTGGTGGAAACACCTGCTGCGCCTCGAGAGGAAGGCGCTGAGCAGGATATTCCCCAGGACCCAGGCAGCGTTGCATCTGCAGCTCCCGATCAGGAGACTATGGTACGCATCATAGCTGAACAGACGGGACTCAAGCGCGAGGAGGGCGACAACGAGGCTACCTTGCAGAAGCAGGCTCGCCGTCTTCGTGAGGAGAACGTATGCCATGGCGGTACTGAGGATACCGACAACGTCAAGATAGAGTACAAAGGACTGCCAGGGGAAAGGTTGTCTCGGATCGAGATCGAGGGTTTAAGCAGATCGATCGCTTCCAGACCAAACACCGAGATCAATCGTGAGGCGATCAATCAGATCGGTCAGAGCCTCGCTCGCGGTCAGGACACCCGCTGGGGATCCCGCGATCACCTGACTTCGGCAGGGGCCCCCGAGACGATCTTGCATCCCATACCGCTCTGTAACAATTGCGGTCGAGATCTGTCCCTCGGTATCGTCACAGGTGACGGCACACTCTGTGATATATGTTGGCAATACACTGTGGCCGTAGGCGCCACAGGTAAGAGCACCGCCACACAGAGTGACCTCGCGCACCTCCAGAAGTTGACGAACTGGATCAAGACGACGTTGTCCGAGGACCAGGTCGCGAGATACATGAAGGATGGCGCACATGTCATTATGACGGGTGCGCGATCCCCCATAGGCACAGAGAAAGATCAGTTGCGGAGATTGGCCAATACGTCCAAGAAGAGGTATCAGAAGTGGGTCGAAGCCGGTAGCCCGCCTGCACACGAATGCAGATTAATGGGCGAATCCGAGGACGACCGACCTCTGTACTACCCATACGCCAATCTCATTCAACGCTTTCTCAACGACCTCAGATTCCATCATCAGATGACAGGAGCCCGCGTGAATGTCGGCAAGAAGCCCTGGAGAGTCGAGGACATGCGCGACGCGTGGGACATCCTTGACGTCAGTATTAGGACAGGACAGGCTGGTCGGAGAAAGTGGTGGCTGAACGAGGGACGCATTGACAGGCAGACGCGGCAGGCGCGCGGACTGATTACGGTTTCTCTCCCTCGAGGGGACGGAACCCGTGAACAGTTCACCCAGCGCAAGCTTGCCGCGATTGCCAACGAGCTGATAGGCTCCCTCGATCCGTCACACACTGACCAGAGGGGGGGTAGTACAGGGATGAGAACCGATCCAGATACACACTCCCAACAGTCCGATGACGCCATGGAGCCGCGGCCGCCGCCGCGGCCGCCGCCGCGCCCTGCTCCTGGCGACGCCGCTGCATCCAGCGCCTCAGGCGCAGAGGACTACATGCCCGCGATGCCGCGCGCCAAGAGAGCACGTACATCTGATTACGCTGCTTACTGGCGCCACAATCTCGAGGACAGCGATTGGGGTCTTCGATACTGGAGTTATTACATCAAATGTTGGATCTACATTGCGATCAACAACGACGAGTATGTGTACATCCAGGATATCACGTACAACGATTGGTTCCGCAACTGGATCCCGAGGACCACTTGGGAAACGTTTACGACAAGCTATGTGACGTACAACGGCCAGAGGGTGTGGGACCGCAGGTTCTACAAGGACGGCGACGCGTAGTGAGTCGGCCGCAAGGCCCACTGCTCAAGAGCAGAACTTCCGTTCATCAAAGTTCGCCTTGAGCGGTGGCTAATACATTCTTTTAGGCCACTTCAATCTTTCACACAAGTGGCCATACACACATATAGATATCTTTTGCGATCACCGAGGCAGCCTCCTAAGGAGCAACGCCAACGGGAGTCGCCAAACAGATTTTATACATCATTTTCGTGTTCATCAACACGACATTTTCTCCTGGCCAGGTACTTGCTTTAACGCAGATTTGCATTTCTTTCAAGATTGTGTTCGTCAACACGATCTTGGCATACATTTGCTTTTAGGCAGACTTGTGTTTGATTTCAAGATTGTGTTCGTCAACGCGATCTTAGCATGCATATTTTAACAATTTAACAATATTGCGTCGAGAATAATCTGATAGCTGGTGGCAACACCTGCCTCGCAAATCTTGCGAGGCGGTTTACGTTGCCTTGGTGCTCAGATCTTCTTTCTCCGCCTACCTTTGTCACATTCTTCTCCTCCCTCGAGTGCCGAAGCGTTTTGGGGGGCGCACCGAGGGGGCGGCAAAGTCCGCCTGGTGAAGAAAAAGAGACCCAAGGTATCTCTTCTTACCTCACTTTGCAGCTGGGGCTTCGCTGACTTTTAGCCCAGCTGCCTTTTCAGACTTAAGGTAAAGGAGTTCTGAGGTTACGGATTCCATCCTCCTGATCCCGAGTCCTGCCTTCGCGGGCGGGATTCGGGACGGGGGGTGTGTATGGAACCCGTGTAATACCCTCATATATACTCCTTATCCTTACCTCTCCCGCACCTGGCCGTTTGGGCTCAGGTACTGAGTTGGAGCGATCGTACCTTGATCGCTTGGGAGGGAAAGATATCCATCTATCCCTCCATCTCTCTACCAACGGATCAGGGGTTCTGTACTCTTGTACTTCAACCCCATACACACCTATACTCCCCACACACAACCCCCCTGCCCCCACCGCCCCCCACGGGGGCATGATACCATCGTCGCTATGCTGTCTCGACTGCGCCGAGATGCCCCCCTTCCTCGCCACCTGCCTGCGGCGGCGAGGCGGCGACGCGGTCATGGGCGACCCTGCCAGCGGCGGCTCGCCAGCGCTTTCGCGAGTTCCCCTCGACGAGCTCATAAGGTCGCTCCAGGGCCAGGCCGCCGCGGACGAGGGGCGCCGTCCGGCCCAGGACGGCAGACCTGCTTCGGCGCCGGCCTTTCATTGGGACGAGGAGGAGGAGGAGGAGGAGGAGGAGGAGGAGGAGGAGGAGGAGGAGGAGGAGAAGGAGGAATTCGAAGAGGAGGACGAGGAGGAGGAGGAGGAGGACCAGTGTAAACCCAAGAGTCATCAACGATGTTGGAATAAACCCTCACTCCACGCTCCGTCTTCGTAGGCCCCTACAACGGTTCATTTCCACCGAGGGAACTGCCTCGTTTGAAGATTCTGAAGCCTGCCAAAACAGTGTTCTCGGAATTCCAACGCCACGGATCAACCTGACTGTTGCGTCTTGACGATGCTGAATTCTGCCAGAGCGAGATTTCTGGGACTTCTGCACCGCGAATCAACGTCAGTGGTGCGCCCTCATAATCCTAAATCTTTCCAAAACGCAATTTCTGGTACGCTGATCACTGGAGTCCGTGAAGCTCTTGCAAACCTCGTAAACGAATGTGCGCGGCGCCCAGGCGAGAGCCACATTTTGAGAAGGAACCGCCTTCAATCCGTGAAACTCTCGCATTTGTTTTAAACGACTGTGCGCGGTGCTACGGCTAGAGCCACATTTTGAAGACCATCCGCCCTCAATCCGTGAAACTCTTGCAATTGTTGAATCGACTGTGCGCGGTGCGGAGGCGAGAGCCACATTGTGAAAACCACCCGCCCTCCATCTATGAAACTGTTGCCAATGTTTAAGCTTCAGGGTCGTCAATGGTGAGGAGGTCTTACGCGAAACGTCCGGCCCGCCCTAAAAACTGGCCTCGGGATGCGACAGGGAGAAGTTATTGATAAGGAAAAGGAATGGAGAAGGAGGAGGAGAAGGAGGAGGAGCCCATGAGAGGGGTCTGTGCAAGCCTTCTGCGCCGAGCCTCTGTCCCTGCCAGCCCCCCGGAACCCCCGCTCCCCTCTCTTGCGCCCCCCCCCCCCCACCCTTCCTTCCTGCCCTGTCCCTGCTCTCCTCTCTCCCTCCTACCCCTGCCGTCCTGCTCCCCCCCTCCCATTCCCCAATCCCCCGTCCCTCTGCTTCACTGGGGCAGCCGAGGGGGGAACTCCTCCCTGCCCCCTTACCTCTCCTCTTCCTCCTCTGTCTGCTCCCCCTCCTCTGCCCCGTTCTCGAGAGTTCCGCCTCGCCACACCACCGGACGCCTCGGCAGGCGGTCCGGGCGTTTCGCTTGAGACTTCCGACCCGCGCATGCTCCTCTGACGCTCGACTTTCCCACGAGCTGCACGGATCCAGTGCGGAAAGATGTCGTTCTCGCTGCAGCGTCGCGCACACTCGCCCTCAAAAACGAGCCGCTGCACGGACGGACGGCGGTCCGTCTGAGCGTTCGGCGTCGGGTGTCGTCGGAGCTCCGCGCAGATGCGTTGCATAATGTCCAGCCGCTCCACGGATGGAGGGCGGCCCGTTTTCAAAATGCGGTTTTCGCGGAAGCACTTTGTGCATTCGTCTTAGAGGCGTTTTCGCTTTTGATGGTTTCAACCTGATGTCCAGAAGTTTGATTTTGCCCCAGAGAAGCACGGAATGAGACGGTTTCAACATGGGGCTACTGCCTGATGATTGTCCAAAGTCTGCGGCCAGAAGCTGACACTGCGCAACGGCTCTATGCATGGGGACGGTCTTCTTTCAAGATGGAATTCTCGCTGGACACGTCCTCGATGTTTCATGTATGGTCGTGCGTCTTGGCAGTCCATGTAGCCATATGTATGACATGCGGCTGTTGTTTTCAAAACGGGGCTACCGCTCGAACAGCAGGCGCGCGGGGTGCTCGTCTTTCGAGTGGTGCAGAGACACTGCAGGTGGAGACATTCGAGGAGGGGTCCTGGGAAGGGAGAGTGCAGTGCAACTCCGATCCTTCGTCTCCTTCTCCACGCTCCACTGGCACACACTCGATTGATTGCGCCTGGTCTCGCGGCCATTGCTCGCTCTCGGGGAAGTCACCGGTAAGCATGGCCTTAGCTGCGCCTTGCTACAGCATGGCACCCTCCCAGTCGTTAGGATTGTGTCTGCGGTGCGACAGGGGAGCCGACGCTGCAAATGATCAGCTCCCAGAGCGAGCTCATGTCCCCCTCATCCTGTCCCGCGCAGTAGGCTCCTACTCCCAGGGGAGTAGGAGACCCGCAGGAGTAGGAGCCTACCCCGGGAGTGGGAGCCTACTCCCAGGGGGGCACAGGAGTTTACTCCCTGGGGTGTGGGAGCCTACTCCCGGGAGTCGGAGCCTACTCCCAGGGGAGTAGGAGCCTACTGCTGGGAGTAGGAGCCTACTCCCGGGGGGTGGGAGCCTACTCCCAGGGGGGTAGGAGCTTATTTCCGCCCGAGTAGTAGGAGCTTGCCCGGGGGAGTAGGAGCCTACTCCCGCCAGAGTAGTACGAGCTTGCCCGCAGGAGGAGGAGCCTACTCCGGGGGGAGCAGGAGCCTACCCGCAGGAGTAGGAGCCTACTTCTGGGAGGATCTCACTCCCAGGGGAGTATAGGAGCCTACTCCCGGGCGGGACGGGGGACGGGGTGGCGCCCTCCCGAGGCGAGCAGGTTCCGCCCCAAGGGGGGCGTGGAGCCTGCTCCCGCAGGAGGCTTCCTGCTCCCCCGGGTAGGCGCCTGCTCCCCGGGGAGCAGGAGCGCGTCGTGTCGACCGGCGGCGACCCCAGCGCGAGCGTTCAAGATTGAACGCCGCCTGTGGCCCAGAATTGGCCCATCCTTGAACAATCCGGCCTTTTCGAAAGGGCCGATCGTTCAAGTTTGAACGATCCCCGCGGCGTCAGGAATCAACGCCCGAGTCGACACGACGCAAATCTGCCGCACTCCTGTGAGCAGTTTTCTATTCCGTGGGGAGCAGGAGCTACTCTCGGGAGTGGGTGCCTCCTCCTCCTCCTCCTCCTCCTCCTCCTCCTCCTCCTCCTCCTCCTCCTCCTCCTCCTCCTCCTCCTCCGCCTCCCCGTCTGTCAGCACACGGGGAGGACGGAAGCGATCTGCGCGCTGAAGTCTCTTCGGCACCTCAACTTCCTTGAGACGTACGGCAGCCACGTGCACAGCCGCCTTGCAACCTGATTACACGCACGGTCGTGCTCATTGTACCAACTCACCTTGTCGCCCCCTTCTCCACCTCCTCGTTCTGCATGCCCATCTCTTATCAATCATCCTAATCGTCATCACCATGAAGCTGGCCTGGGCTGCGAATCGCACAGCGAGCACGTCGTCGTCCTGCTCCTCATCATGCCCATCATCATCGGCAGCGTCAGCATCATCAGCATCATCATCAGCATCATCAGCATCATCATCATCACACGCATCATCATCAGCAGCATCCGCATCATCATCATCGTCATCATCATCGTCAGTATCACCATCATCATCATCATCATCATCATCATCATCATTATTATCATCATCATCATCATCATCATCATCATCATCATCAACGTCATCATCAACATCATCATCATGGTCGTCATCATCAGCAGCATCATCATCGTCATCATCAACAGCAGCAGCATCACCATTGTCAGCATCACCATCATCACACCCTCACCATCAGCATCACCATCATCCCTCATCGGCATCCCCGCCTCACCTCACCTAATCGTCGGCCGTGGCGACTACAACGAATACGACTGCGCCGAATACGCAAGCAGCCGCAAAGATACCATGCGTCTCGATATCTTATCGTCCCACACCTATCATAATGTCAAAGCGACGCTGGCGCACCACACCGCAGCGAACGCTTCTCAGTTGCAAGCCGCCCTCGCCGCTGCCAATCACGCTGTAGAATGCTAGGCCAGTGGGGGGCAGGCTGCGCAGTTACGGTCGATCATCATCACTCGTTCTTCGCCTCCCTCCGCTCCCATCCCTATGTTTTTCCTTCGCACCTCCTACCCCCGTCACTCCTGCATCATACCACCTCCCCCATCTGATCCCTCAGTGTCCCTTCCTCCCACCTGCTCATCCTTCCCTTAGCGATGTTCCCTCCCATCCTCATCGTATTTCCCTTCCCTTTTTCCTCCCTCTCCCTTCCACTTGTTTCTCCCGCCCAGCCTCGCTCACAGGACCGAGGGCTCGGCGCTGCGCCACGTGGCCCCCTGGTTTTGCCGCAGCGTCGTTCGCGCAGGCGCGTGCCAGAGGTACGGGTAGATGTGGGGAGGAAGGGAGTGTCATAGAATGGGACCACTGACAAAGTCAGAGCAAGACGTCGACCTGCTTGAACAAAAGCTCCATGGGTCTGAAACCCCGATAAATCCTGTCCAGAAACTCTTTGCGCTTCTTGGTAACAGTCATGGGATCGCACGGCGAGGTGGCGGAGTAAGAAAATGACGAAGAGAAGGGGGGAGGCAGGGGGGGCGAGGGAGGAGGGGTGATGAGGGATGACTGAGGGAGCATGGGAAAGGGAGGATCATGTGCATTAGTGGTTGTCAGGCCTTCCTGTCTCGTTCTGCGCACGCCGATGTATAGATGGTCGGCCCCCTTTCCGATCGAGGTGCTCGCTTTCATCGACGCCGAATCCCCATACGTCAGTAAAGCCATGTGTTTCACATGCCCAATACTCCCCTTCGTTCTCCCTGTCCCTTACTGCGACTTCCTCTGTTTTTCCCCTCTCTGAATGAGCTTTGGGTGAGTTCTCGAAAAATGTGGCAGACCAGCGCCTGGACGTCGCGAGCGGCACTCCCGCAATGCAGAGGACCAGCCTCGGGTACATCCGAGTCTGGATCGTCAGATACGTGCGGACACGCAGCCGGCGTTTCTGGATCATCGCTTCGGATTGTCAAGCCCCGCGTGCAGCCCACGGGGTGCGAGTCCGAAGAGGGGAGCGAAAACACAGCATGCGCTTGCTGCTGAGAGCCCACTGTTCGCACACGTGCGTCGGCATCGTGCCGGTATAGCTGCAGGGATTAGGTGGCGCGCTTCAGCAAGGATGCTGCGTCCGGTCTCGTTCGAGATTTCGACGCAGAACAATCGCTTCCCAAAGTTTCAAACGTGAAGCCGCGGAGGTGGGGGCAAATGGGCTCTTTCGGGCAGATACAAGAACCACTCAGCCCAGGATTCAGGGATTTGCATGTTTCCCCAATTATGCTTTGCTTGAGGACTTCTTCTTGCGAAGGCCTAACGGCTGGTGCCGCCGACCCTGAAGAGGGACGACGACGACGACGACGACGACGACGACGACGACGACGGCGACGACCACGACCACGACCACGACCACGACCACGACCACGACCACGACCACGACCACGACCACGACCACGACCACGACCACGACCACGACGACAACGACAACGACGAGCTGATGACCCTGCCCGAGGCTCGTGACATGGGGCGGCTGGTGGAGAAAAAAGGAGGAAGAGCTGCTTGTGAAAGAAGCCACTGGAGCGTGGGGCGGGGCCTTCTGTCGGAGGCGGCCCTCGGCGTTGCCCCCGGGGCTCCTCGGGGGGGTTGCCCGGGTGTCCCGGGGGCTGCCCGTGCGGCCCTCGGCGTTGCCTTGGGGGCTGCCCGGGCTCCAGGCAGTGTGCAAGGCAGCGCCGGGCAGTGCCAAGCACTGCAACGCCAAGAGCAGCCAAGCGAGGACAGGCGAGGCCAAGCGAGGTCGAGCAATGCCGAGCAGTGCTAAGCAATGGCAGTCAGTGTTAATCAACACCAGGCGATCAGAGGCAACGCAATGCAGCGCCGAGCAGTGCCATGCAACGCGGAGCAACTCCTAGCACCACAATGCGAATCAAAACCAAGCAGTGTCAAGCAACATTGAGCGACGCCAAGCCCTGGCCATCACGCAATGCCAAGCAACGCCCAGCCACATCAAGCAATGAAAAGCAATGCCAAGACACGCCAAGCATCGCCGAGCAATGCCAAGCAAGTCCGAGCAACGCCAAGCAATGCCTATCCACGCCAAGCAAAGCCAAGCAAGCCAAACAAGTGGCAAGCAACGCCAAGCAATTCCAAGTATTTCCTAGCAACGCCAAGCAATGTGTTGCATATGTTTGCAGAGCTTTGCGTTACTTGGAACTTATCTGAACTGCTGTTGAAGAAAGGTTACCCCTAATTTGGGTCACGCCAGGCTCATTTCCCCTTGTCAATATGGTCTTCGCTGAATCCGAGCGTTTCCGATAAAGGTTAGTACGGCACGATGTGTGGGTGTGAGCTTGCGGGTAGCAGCATGGACTGGGAAACAGCGAAGTGCGGGATGCTTTTCCAGCCCAGGCCTCGCGGTCCTGGGGCGCTGCGGGCAGCTCTTCCTGGCAGACACACGCAGTGGCGGTTGTGGCGACTAGGCCCCACAAGCACCGTGGCTGCTGACTGTGGGACGGCGACAGGAGACTGGCGGGCGGAGGAGACTGTAGTGCAAGGTAAGTACTCGAGATAGGGATGAAGAGGAGCGCCATTACCCCATGACGGAGTGTCTGGCACTGGGAGTCTCTCGTGGGGTGAGCTGGTTGTTCTGTCGTCGCCAGGCCCTCTGCACTGTGGCCCACGGAAGGGGGAGCGCAGGGCGGGGAGCAGTTAGAGAGCAGCACGCAAGCATCTGAGCACAGCGCACAGGAGCAAGGGCCCGTCGTGATCGACACTGCGGAATGTGTCGCATGGCCGCTGCCGCCTACAGCACGATCTCATCCAGAAGGGCTGATTTTGATCATCGAAAGCGTCCTTTCCTCCTCGCCCCCCCCACCCCTTCCCCCTGCTGCCTCTGCTCAGCCTCCGTATCCTCAGACTTCTCCTCCGGCCTCCAGTAGCGCGACGGCGCACGTACAGCGCCACGACCTTGTCGGCCTCACGACGCCATTCACCCCCTGGTGCCCTGGGCACACGAAAGCCGTAATCCAAAAAAGTCGTCCTCCTCCTCCTCCTCCTCATCCTCCTCCTCCTCCTCATCTTCAGCCTCGTCCTCTTCCTCATCCTCCTCCTCCTCCTCCTCCTCATCTTCCTCCGGCTTCTCCTCCTCCTCCTCCTCCTCCTCCTCCTCCTCCTCCTCCTCCTCGATATCGAACCTCCCGACCTAGAGGAGGCCCTGCAGCGGAGACGGCGGGCGCCCTGGCGGGCTCGTGCTGCCGGCGCAGGCGCCTGGGGGGGAGTGAGCGGGTGAGTCTTGTGGGGCGACGCGGCGCGCCCCGCCCCGCCGCCCGGTGGCTCGTACCAGGGGGCCTCCGAGACGCCCCCTGGCCCTCCGACGTGCTGTGAGGGGGGAGGGGGTAGGGCGAGAGGGGGGGGGGGAGGGTGGGGAGGGGAGAGGGAGGGGGGGAAGGTCGAGGAGGGGGGGAGGGGGAGGCAAGAGGAGGGGAGGGGAGAGGAGGGGAGGGGAGGAGGGGTGCGGACGAGAGAGGGAGGGGGGGAAGGATGGGGGGGAGGAAACTCATGCGCACCTTGCGCGGCAAGGCTGTCGAGGGGGGGGGAGACATGGACGTGGGGATGTCGATCATTTGGGCTGGGAGGTGATCCGAACACAATTCCGCCTACCCTAGGCGATGCTATCCAGCTGCCTGCGGCAAGTCCAGCCACCCTGCCAGCCCAGCATTCTGGGTGACGACTGTTCGCGGGAGCACGGGAGGCCGTCGCGAGTGACACCTCGTGTCTCAAGGTTTGGGAGAGCCGTGAAAAGGATTATGGCGACCATGGGGATGATAATGACGATGAGGAGGATGAGGACAATGACGATGATAATAATGATATTGATAACGATACCAAAAATAAGCATAAATCATCAAGATTAATCATCATCATCATCATCATCATCATCATCATCATCATCATCATCATCATCATCATCATCATAATCATAATCATAATCATCATCATCATCATCATCATCATCATCATCATCATCATCACCATCACCATCACCATCATCCTCATCCTCATCATCATCATCATCATCGTCATCATCATCATCATCATCATCATCATCATCATCATCATCGGCATCATCATCACCATCATCCGAATAGTAAGATTGATAATATATAATAAAACGAAGGATAAAAACAATACTACTAATAATAATGATGATGATGATGACGACGATGATGACGATGACGATGACGATGACGACAACGACGACGATGACGATGCCGATGCCGATGATGATGCTGATGACGATGACGATGATGGTGATGATGATGATGATGATGATGATGCTGATGATGATGATTGTGGTGATCGTGATGGTGATGATGTTGATGTAGATAATGGTGGTGAAGTTGAAGATGAAGATGAAGAAGCTGAAGATGATGATGATGGTGATGATGATGACGATAGTGATAGTGATGATGATGATGACGGCGGTGTTGGTCGTGGTGGTGATGATGATGATGGTGATGACGATGATGATGGTGATTATGAGTATGATGGTAATGGTGACGGTGATGATGGTGGTGATGATGATGACGGTGATTATGATGATGGTGATGATGGTGGTGATGATGACGGTGAGTATGATGATGGTGATGATGATGTTGAGGATAGTGATGATGGTGTGATGATGACGACGAAGATGATGATGATGATGATGATGATGATGATGATGATGATGATTATGTTGATGATGTTGATGATGATGGCGATGGCGATGGCGACGGCGATGATGACGATGATGATGACCACGACGACGATAACGTTGACACTGAGTGTTATGATGGTGGTGATGATGATTGCGATACTGGTGATGACGACGGCGATGACGATGCTGATGATGACGACGGTGGTGATGGTGATGATGATGATCATGATCATGATCATGATCATGATGATGAAGTTGATGATGTTGATGATGATTGTGCTGGTGCTGGTGATAATGATGATCTTACTGATGAGGATGACGATGTCGATGGTGATGGTGAGAATGATGCTGATGCTGATGACGAGGATGATGATGATGGTGATGATGGTTGTGATGAGGATGAGGATGAGGATGAGGATTGCGGTGAGGAGGAAGAGGAGGAACAGGTTGCGGAGGAGGAGCATGATGAGGAGGAGGATGAAGAGGAAGGCCGTCACATGTAACAGATTTCGCTTTTACCCTTTGAGAACCTCTCATAGAACTCGTTTCCTCCCTCAGCAGCACGAGTGTACTTGCCAGAGTTATGTGAAAACAGGTTCGATGGTGAGGTAACTTGACAAGGTTATCGCTCTATCCGAGGAGAGGCAGGGGAGGAGCGATGGCTAGAGAGATCACTTGGAAGAGGGTACGTATCGCGCTAGCCGAGTAGACTGATGATGGCGATGCCGGTTGGACGATTCGTGCTGATTGCCGCGCGGGCTTCTGCGTGCAATTGACCCGTCTGCCCTGTGCGTTTGGATAGTGTAATGCAGTTACGGGCTTCTCCAACATCCATGCCTCGTTTATTGTTTCGATTTGGATTCTGGCGCGACAGACTGCAGGCGAGTCGCCGCCTTACGGAAAATCAGTATGGTTCCAGGAAGCGTCACATATATCATCTTCATACGGCTGGCATGGAGCTCGTTTCAGCTGTCTTAGGTTTGGGTTGGTCTCATGTTGTGCAGCCCTTGGAGTACCTTGGGGCCTGATCGAGCCGTCGTATCGCCGTATTGGATGAGTATTGCGAATGCATAGACACCGTCGTGGGGCCGTCGTGGGCCGTCGAGAGGCCTTCTAAAGCTGCATTGGGTCCCACATAAGCCATCTTGGGCCGTCTTGGCCTCTTGAACCATCGTGAGACCTCTTGGGCCATCTTGGGACGCTCTTGGAGGTCTATTTGGCAATTTTGGGGCCATCCTGGAAGTTTCTTCGGGCGCCTCTTGGGCTATCTTGGGGACATCGTGCAGGCTTCCTCGGCAGTCGTGACCTGACGGCAACCCGTGACAACCAGAATGCGGCATTGCATTGTTTTGTTTTGCATTGTATTGCATTGCTTCGCTTCTCATTGCTTGGTGTTGCTTGGCATTGATTGACAATGGTTGGCATTGCTTGCAATTGCTTGGCATTGCTTCGCATTGCGTGGCGTTACTTGGCATTGCTTTGAATCGATCGGCATTGCTTGGCGCTGCTTGGCGCTTCGTGGCATTACTTAGCGTTACTTTGCATTGCTTGGCGTTGCTTGGCATTGCTTTGCGTTGCTTAGCATTGGTTGGCGTTGCTTGGCTTTGCTTGGCGTTGCTTTGCACTGCTTTGATCTGCTTGGCGTTGCTTGACGTAGCCTGGCGTTGCCTGGCACTGCTGGAAAACAAGATCAACAACCAGGGCGGGGTACCCGAGGAACCCGAGGAACCTTCAAGGAACGGGCAACGTAAGAATACGAGGCACCCGGGGCGGGGAACCCGAGGAATCCGGGGACCCCGAGGAACCTCCAGGAAGCAAGCAAAGTAACAATATGAGGCACCAGGGGTGGGGCACCACAGGAAACCGAGGAACCTGAGGGAAACGGGCAAAGTAACAATAGGAGGCACCGGGGGCGGGGAACCCGAGGAACCCGGGGACCCCGAGGAACCTCCAGGAAACGGGCAACGTAACAATATGAGGCACAGGGGGCCCGGAACCGACGAACCAGCGGAACCTCCGAGGAACGGGTAAAGTAACAATACGAGGCATCAACCTTTGACCAAGTAAGAACCCCGAAGGCAAGCCTAATTGAGGAACCAAAGTGGCATCAACGATTTGTGGTTATTTGGGCCTTGTTTGGGGTCCTCTTGTGGCATTTTTGGGCCCTCTTTAAGGCATCTTGGGCCATCTTGAAGGCCTGGGAACGCTGGAAATGTACGATCCTCGGGCGGGTGCGCGTGGGATGAGGGGTCTAGGAGTTAGCGCCATGCGGGAAGTGCACCATCCTCGAGCGGGCACGCATGGAATGAGGATTCATGCGTTAACTGCCATGCGGGACGTGCACCGTCCTTGAGCGGGCACCGGAGGAGTTGAGGTGTATGCATTAGTTGCCAGGCTGGGAGTGCACCATCTTCGAGCGGGCACGAGGGAAGTCGCCTCGGAATTGAGGGGGGATGCACGCAGCAGTCTGCGGCCGGGAAGAGGAGGTCACCAGAATCACAAAAAATCCTTACTAGACAGCCTTTGGCATTCTTCCACGCCTCAGCGTGCCAGGGGGCACGGTGGCGGATCACTCATCTCGCTGTGTTTGCACGGGACAGTTGTTCGAGAGCTCCAAGGGAAGGGAGGAGGGGGAAGGGGGGAGAGGCCTCTGGCGCCGGTGTTCTCCGGGAGCTTCCCCAGGTGCTTCCGCGCCGAACTTTCTCGAACCGCTTGTTTGGTATGCGTTTTTGTTCAAGCCGGTGGGGTGTCAGGCTGCCTCATCCACATCTTGACTAACACCTTAGGTGCGCTGCGACAGAGCGTGGTGTGGTGCGGTGACGTGTTGTGCGATGTGCCAGGACGCTTCCATTCAAGCGAGAATGCCAAAGCAGACTGAGGAGTCTGCAGACCCCAGCTGTGTGCTACGACTACCATCAGCGTCTTGACAATACATAGCTGACGTGTTCTCCAATTTTCCAGCTCGCCTATACAGCAACACCGAGAAGAGACACCAAAGCGAAACCGGCACGACGAGTCACCTTTCTGAACACATGTTTACCTTCACTACTGAATAATTGGGCAGAGCATTCAACCAACTGAAGAAAAGCAAGGTTGCAAGCTCAAACGGAATCGTCGTAGAAATGCTCAGGGCGGGTGGCGGTGCGTTACAGCAAGCATTAATGCACATGTTGAATTCGACTGCACGGGTCGACTCTCTGAAACCAGCGGAGCGGAGACACAAGGTAGCAAAGTGTGGCACAAGGATGGCGATGCGCGACAGCCACTAAACTAGAGTTCTTAATTGCGACGAATCCCACCTCTCTACAGTGTATTACCCCAATCCAGTAGACTTGATTCCATCCGACTCTCGACGGACACCAGACCAACGACCAAGCATGCTTCAGACCAAGCCGCAGTACAGTCGACCACCTCTCCACTAGTTAAATCGATACACAGAAAGTTGCTGGCGAACGGTAAGTTGTGGTACGCTCCGCAATTATGGTTTGGGCTGCAACAGTCGACTTCAGAAGGCATTCAACATTGTTTCCCGCGCAAGCGTACGGCCAGCTCTGGCAGACCACTGCCTTTCAGACGCATGGCAGCTGCATGCATCCAACTGATCGACAGATGGACCAGAACTGCATAACGTCAGTCGGAGCTGATCAGGTGTGCAGGCCGTTTTATATTCAATGTTTGGCCAAGCAAGCGGAACCCATGAGTTCGATGTTGCTCGACAGCACCATTAGGGGAACGAACAATGACATAAACATAAAAACTCGGAGGCCCGCGCGGATTCCTCGGATCGGCGCTGCGGCCCCCTGCCGCCTTTGGCGCGCTCCGATCCGAGAAATCCGCGCGGACCTCCGAGTTCTTATGTTTATGTCATTGTTCGTTCCCCTAATCACAGAAAGCTTCATGCTACCATTTTGCACACGAGTTGGACGAGACAAGAAGAGGACTCCAGCAGCGTGCTTCAGGCCGCCGCCAGCCAGCATCGGGCACGCAGACGGCACGGGGTGGAGACGGGAAGAGGCCGAGGCACCACCTCGTGGCCAAAGCACCCGCGCCAGCATCAGCATTCGGGTGCTAGGGCGGTGGCTTGGCATCGCTCGGACGTGTGACCATCGGGCAGCATCTTGGACCATCGAAGAAAGACACGCACGAAATCCAAAGATGCACGGGGAATGCACGTCCTAGCGATGGCGAGGCGGTGGTTCCTTCCGCACGGTCTTCCATGTGAGGCGAGGCATGGGCCGCTTGTGAAACGAGCGTCGGCGGCTGAGGATATTTTGCGGCCGAGTGTGCGGTGGCCTTGTCGTAATCGGTTTCGGCAGAGGTTCCCGCATCGCGAACCGACCTCTCACACTCTTCTTCTCTCAGCCCCCGCTTTCGGGTCGCAGCTGTGGCCCCGTCGCCGCTCGCCGCCGTCGGATGATCGCTGTAGCAGTACGACCATCATCATCATCATCATCATCATCATCATCATCATCATCATCATCATCATCATCATCATCATCATCAGCATCAGCATCATTATCATTATCATTATCATCATCATAATCATCATCATCATCATCATCATCATCATCATCATCATCATCATCATCATCATCATCATCATCATCATCATCATCATCATCATCATTCGGTGGGCTCTGGCGTTTCGGCCTCGACTCACCTTGGGAGAGCGGGATCATCATCATCATCATCATCATCATCATCATCATCGTCATCATCATCAATCATCACCATCCTCATCACCACCATCATCAACAACATCGTCGTCATCGTCATCATCAGCAGCAGCATAAGTATCAGCATCGTCAGCAGCACCAGCTCCAGCACCAGTAGCACCATCATCATCGTCATGATCACACCCGCCTGGCCGTTGTCGCCCTCGTGCGTGGGGTGCGTTCCTGACGGTCGCACGACGGCCCTGGCTCGTTCTTCCAGTGTCTCAGTGGGCAGTGGAGGGCTGAGCATCGTTTCGCCGTGCAGCCCGAGTGTTCACATCCCTCACATCCCATGCCCGATCCAATCTGATTTCGATGTCTCTCTTTAGATTCCAGTTCTGGTCTTTGTCCATTGCCGTTTTCTCTTATCGATTTTGGATATGATCCTGATGTTTCGCCCGAGGGTTTGTGGACCGATTGTTGTTGCTGCTGTGCTGCCAGGGGGTGGGGTGGGCCTGGCGATGTTTCTAGCGGCGCTGGTGCTGCTGCTGGCGTTGCTGGAGCTGCCGTGTTGCTGCTACTGCTGTCGTGGAGGTGGAGGAGGGCGCCAGCTCAGTTCCAACAGGTTCGGTTTGGCCGTTCGGACTGGCTTCGGCCAGGCAGCTTCGGCCAGGCAGCTTCGGCCAGCTGGTTCGGTTCGAACCGGTTCGGTTTGGTCTCCAATTCGGGTGGTTCGGTTGCGGAAGCCACCAGCTCATGATTACCGATTCGATTCGAGCCTTTCTTGCGTGCGGGGTGGGCTTGCGACTTCGATTTCGATTCCCGCGCAGCGTTTTCGATTCGGATTCGGGACCGAAGGCTGGGCGGGAGTCGGCAGTCCGATTCTGGCCCGATCCGGTGCGCGATGTTTTCTGATTCCATCCGATCCGATGTTTAGCCGATTTTATTTCGAGTTTACGATTTGATGGACGGGGCGTTGCATCCCCCCCCCTCTTCCCCCTCCTCTTCCTTTTCGATTCCTCTTCCTTATAAACAATCTCCCCTGCCGCACCACTAGACGTGTCCGTAGGCCAGGTTGGCTAATCTGCTTGGAATTTCCTTCAAAAATGTTATCCAGAAAGTAAAGCCAACACTCACAAGGATGAAGGGCCGGTGGTTTCCAAAATGCCGCTCTCGCCTTAGAGCCACACGCATTCGTTTTCAAAATGCGGTTTTCGATTTAGCTCCGCACACTCGATTCAAATGTAAGAGTTACACGGATGAGAGCGGGGTTTTAAATATGGCTTCTGTCGCAGCATATTTTACCGCCGCGCAGCGCATTCGTTTAGCCTCCCTCCCTCAGCTGCAAGGATGGAGGCCGGTTCGTTTAAACAATGCGGTTGTCATTTGAGACTTCCGCATTCCAGGTCGATGTCTCGATGTTCCAACTTGTGCAAAAGCTACACAGGTGGAGGGCGGCTCCTTTTCAAAATTCGTTCTCGTATGATAGTTCCGCTATTTGTATTGTGAACGGTTAGCGTAACCCCAGGAGCCCATCCAGAAACGATGCCCAGGGATATAGAGAAGCGTATAGTGCAATAAAAGTTGGGGAAACTGTCATACCCCA